CAGACAGGACCTCCCACTCCTGAACCCCATTTCTGAACCTCAGCAGAGATGAAGGGTAGGGAGGGTGAGTGAGATGTGAGTGAAATGAACAGGAATGTGATTAGACTGAGCAGAGAACACAGATACCCCCACCACTCACCTCCTGACGTCTTCATCTCAGAATCTGGGTCCCTGTAGTCCCAGCCCCGAAATACTCCCCTATAGAGAAGCATCCTGCCTGTGGGCACCACACTGCATGGCCCCCTGTGCTCACCTGGAGGCCTCCAGCCCCTCAGTGCTCACCTGAGAACAAGGAGGGGCCCTGCAGGGCTCATGGGACCTGGGGCCTCCTGCCCAGACGCTGTGCATTCCCCTCTGCTCAGTTTTTCTGTGTACATGGGTCTATTATGGCTCCTTTTAGAGAAACTTCAGGCAATAATTCAGTCTATAAGCTCACAATTTAACTTATATTATGTGGAGTCCAGATAGAAATATAAACATTCTATTCTTCTTTTCAATGGGAGTCGATTAAATTCATACATTTTTTTTTTATGGAGAACAACTTCTTGTTTATATAAAGTCTTCTTTTCACACACGTTTTCAAGTGAGCTTTATGAGTGAACTTTAGAAGCATGTGACAGCTATTTGTAAAATTGAGTAAGTGCCCAACCCACTTAGAGAATTGCCAAGTAATATTGTAATTTGTGAGTAAGCAGTTTGGTGCCTGTAGATTTTCTAAATGGTAGTAAGTGCACTTAGGAAAGCACTTGGTTTGGGCATATTTATCTTATGACCTGTTAACCTCCCATAGACTCTCTCCCTGTGGCCTGTTTTTCAGTTGATCCCTCCAACATGCTGATAAAATTATAATCCCCACCAGGCCAAGGCAATGTCCCATCTTCATTCCCAATTGGATACCTATTTTTCTCACTCCACACCTAAAACAATGAAATGAGGGATTAAAATTTTTCCAGAGTTTCCCCTGTGGAAATCAGCTTAATTCATACCCAAAGTCATGTCAAGGCAAACCCATTAAGAATTCTACATTTTATAGCAAAGGCACTATTGGCCTCTTTGTTCCAATCTGTTCTTCTGTTTCATTAGGGTTCACTAGGAAATGCTTTTCTTTCTAACAGATACACATCCCCCCATGATTATCTTTTCTCTGACTTATAACCAACCACACGACACACATTACAAAGGCTTCTTGGTGTCAACCATTTGGATATTAACCCAACTGAGTAACGCTGATCACCCATGTGCATTTCTGAATTGTGGGAGCTGGGATTTAGAATTATTGCATGATCACTATATGAGGAGAGTCCATATTTCTGTTTATTATCTTGGGTTTTATATGAAACTAGAG